GAGGATGAGGAGGAGGAGGAGGAGGAGGAGGGGGAGGAGGAGGGGGAGACAGAGGAAGAGAAGGAGACAAAAAAGAAGGCAGAAGAAGAAGAAAAAGAAGAAGAACAACAACAATAACAACAATAACAAAAACAACAACAACAACAATAACAAAATCAACAACAGCAACAAAAAAACAAAAACAATAACAAACAAACAAGATGATGATGAAGAACACGAACAAGAAAGATGAAAAAAAGACAAGAACAAGAGCAAGAGCAAGAACAAAAAGACGATGATCACCATGACGAAAGTGATAACAATAGAGATTTTGATACTCATTCATTCTTATCTCTCATTTTACCATCTAATCCAATCCTCCCCAACCTTCTTCCTCACCTAAAGCGTTCCTGGGCCAGACCTCAGACTTCTCCGACAGGTGTGTGTAGGAGGACCACAGCGAGTACAGCACGACAGGCACCCACGTGACCGGAACCAGCCACCAGGGGGACTTGGTCATCATCTCCACCAGGTCGGACTTAAACAGCCGGATAGGTCTGTCCACCTGCTGATGGGTCCAGTCGAAGTATTTATCTCCCAGCAGCTCCACCTGCCCCAGCATTGGCTTGTCCCAGTCCACAATGTCGTTCTTGTACTGGGGGAGGGGGGAGGGATGGGATGAGGACAAGTGGGAGGAGGATGGTGATGGTGGTGAGGAGGAGGAGGAGGAGGAGGAGGAGGATGAGGAGGTTGATGATGGTGGTGAGGAAGTTGATGATGGCGGTGAGGAGGATGAGGAGGAGGGAGAGGATACTGATGATGATGATGGTGATTATGATGATAATGATGATGAGGAGGAGGAGGAGGTTGATGATGGTGGTGTGGATGAGGGGGAGGATGAGGAGGAGGTTGAGGAGGAGGATGGTAGTAATGAGGAGGTTGATTATGGTGCTGAGGATGAATATGAGGAAGAGGGCGAATAGTGGGAGCAGAAGGATGATGGGGATGAGGAGGATGATGGTGCTGAGGAGGATGGCTATGGTGGTAGTGGTGGTGATGATGCACACACACACACACACACACACACAC